TGTTTGCTTTTCTGCTCTCCTTGTGGTGTTCTCAGGCTCCAAAGATTGTCCCAGGAAAAGGACATCGGGAAGAGGGAGGGATGGACTGGCAGCTTTTGAGGTTCTGCTTGTGGGCCAAGATCACCAGCAGGTACATGCAGCCTTGCAGAGCGCCCAGTGAGCATCTGCGCTAACTGTGAAGGGCCTGCTTCATTTCCTTGAATCTGCCAGGTCTGAAAACTAAAAAATACCCTTTCTACAACACTTCTTAATATCTATTCTGCCTGTTGACAGAATACCACTATCTGACACTGCCAGCCAAGCAAAGTGACAGAGATGAATGAGACAGCACGAACAAATCAGCAGGGCTAGGGCAGTGGCACTAACGCTCCTCCAAAATTTGATTTTATACTTTGCCCTGCGCCTCCCATCAGGGCATCCTCTGCAAGGCAAGTTTCCTTTGGTCGTCTTCAAGCTCATCTTGTGTCATCTCCCAAGAAGGAGTAGCAAAACAGGCCGCTTGCAAGCGCGAGCCCCAACCGAGCCTCTCCCGAGCCCAGGGCACACAGATCAGCCCAGGTCTCCCACCTTATTCCAGCCTGGATCCAGGCCTGAACCAATGCATGAGTCTTCTGGAGATTATCGGGAGGAAAAGGCAAGACGTGGGGACATGGGAGAAGTCCAACTGTGCTCCTTGTGCGTGGAAAAGCAACTTGAAGGAACAGCAATGGTGCTGCCTTCTGTTTGCAAACAAGATTTCAGGATGAACTTATGAGACCTAGATAGTCTTCAATAAAAGCAAGGCCTGCAGTTTAGTGCAAAGATTACCTCCGAGTTTTTACTGAGTTGAGACGGGAACTAGATCTTCTTGCACCAAGAGGGCTCTGCAATGTCTCTTTTAAATCTTCCTGCTTGGAAGCCTCAACTGCAATGGAGTTTGATAGGATTATTTTATTTACTTTTATTTTATTTACTTTTATTTACTTTTATTTTATTTTATTTTATTTTATTTTATTTTATTTTATTTTATTTTATTTTATTTTATTTTATTTTATCTTCTACAGCAAGGCTATTTCTGACTGAATGTCTGGCTCTTGCTATTAAACTGCTCTCATTCTGCTGCTCATCTGACCTGCTTTGCTCGGAGAGCTCAAGGGAAGGCAGCAATAGCAATAAACTGCAAGCTGGAGCTTACGTTGCATCTCGATTGCAAGAGATGCAGAAAAAGTGCAAATTAAAACTAAACGCGGTCACCGATCTTCCTGCATTGTCAGAAAACACAGAGCACAGAGCCCCGTTAAAGCTGGTTCCATCACTGGCAAAAGAAATGCCTAAGTTGCTGCGGAAACGTTGGTAACTCTTCCTACTTCACACCACTCTCACCCTAGTGCCATGGCCTCTTGAGCTCATGGGAGAAACCCAAATCCACGTCCAGAGGAGAAACAGGAACATCTTCATCTTCTATGGTAGGTACCTCGAGCATCCCCCAACATGACGGACTTTGGTGATGATTAACACTGCATGTCACAGCCCAGGGGGTTAAGCACTGTGATCTGCAAATTTAAAAGCACCTCTGTGGCAAACCCTCAAAATCAGGGTGATGAGAAAAGCAGGTGCTGGGCCTTTAAGGCCAGCATCATTGAGGACTGACTTCATTTCTTGGTAATTACAATTAGCATGCTGGAATATGTATTCGTCTTTCCTGATTACAGACATATGGCAAGCCAAAGAGCGGCCAGTCCTTGCTTCCTACACAGTTTATTCCCTTCTTCCTTTCCAAAAGGGATTTTTGCATTATAGAAACGAACTCTCCTCTAAAGGACCACTTTGTCCCCATATACACAGCACCCCCCCAGCCTCTGGTTCAGGAAATACAAACAGAAAAACATTAGGAGTGTTTTAATGTTAATCTAATAGCCTGAAGTTAGCTGGCTTTGCAAAGAACATCTTAATCACGAATTTTGCCTATTTCTCAACCATGAACCATAGACAGCCGAGCTGACCCATCCTCCCTTGTCCCCACAGGTCCTGGAAATGCTCTGCAGTACCTACCTATAGCCCTCAGTATTGCAGTACCCAGTCTGCTGAGCACTGAAACGGCTGACACAGCCATTTCATCTGGCTGAAATCCTCCCGTCTTTGCACCCGACAACAATTCGGTGGCAATATTAGGAAGCAGCCAGTCCTGCCTCCCCTGGCAAAACTTGAGCCAAAGAGACTGATTTGCAAATTCACAAACACTTTTCCACACAAGTTGCTCTGCAAGATGCACTTCCAAAGCAGAGAGGAGTTTATTTGGAAAAAAATGTTAAGTGCTGCTGAAAGCAGATAGTGGGATATTAGAGAAATACTGGTGCACCCAGTAAGCCCTATTCCTTAGCCCAGCAGGGCCACACTACTTCCACGTAGGTTTTGCCACATCGAGACTGCTTGTTTCATCACCTGCTGCAGAGGAACCTGGCAGTCTATGCAATGCAACCTGCAGGGTGACAAGTTTTGTAGACAACTGAGTTCAAAGGGAAGGACCAGGAAAAACAGCATCCAAAACTGCTGCGGAGCTTATGAAAGCAAACCGCATCTATCCCATCAGGAGCAGATGTATCTGTGTCTGCCAGCTGGATCTGCCAAACCACAGAATCCGTATGCATCACTGGGGGCTTCCAGAGCACAGAGCTCTTCCAGATGCTAACTCAGACCCTGAGACAGCAGATAACAAAGGTGAGGGTGATGTGCAGATAAACCACAGCGGAGCTTTGGAGGACTGGGAAATTTTGTTGGAAATATACTCTTATCAGCCTAGGGCCTCTCAAGACACCTCGCATGCTTTCACCAAAGTAAAATGCTTGTGATATATTTAAGTACAGAATTTGCTTTTGTTCCTTATTTCTATTAAAAAGGTCTTTTGGGCCTCCCAAAAATGGTAAAAAATAACCATTATAATTCAATAATACAGGTATTCTCAAAATGACTGTGTCATGATTAAGCATGTGTCACACCTACTAATTTACCATTCAGCTCATATTATCTAAAGAATACCCACAAACACAAAAGATTATCTAAAAAGGGAGATTTACTGGGATGCGCCTTCCTAAGCCGTACCAAAGTTCAAACTTCTTTTGTTCAGGGTTCACCGACTAAATGAAGCTCATGCAAAACACAGGTCAGGTCCTCTGGGAATGTTCTCACCATCCAGAAGAGATGCATCTTGCTGGGTGGTTGCTTGTTAGGATCCATAGCAGGAAAGGGTCGGGACAGGAGTCAGGGGAAATGCTATGGGAAAGTGCTGCTGTGGTGTCTTTTCACCTCTTGCAGCTTCTTTTTCCCTCCCACCCTACTACTCTGAAAATTGAAAGAAAAAAAAGCAATTTGACATTGGTATTGCAGATGCAGGAGACACTGCAACTTGGTGTGGCTGCTGTGTCCAGGCCATGAAGTTTAACCACCCAGTGTCCCACAACCCTACAGCTCAGCGTGGAGTCCCACAAGGCTCTCAGCTAGCAGCAGAAGAGCTCATCACATCTGCACCATGGAGACCATCTCCCTATGGCACCGTGTCTCCAAGACAGAGCTAAAAACTACAGGATGTTCCCAGGGAAGACACCTGCTGCGTGACATCAGCACACACACAACGCTGTTGGAATACAGAAGAGTAGAGGCCAGTGTCACCTCAACTGCTCTCGCATACCGATGCTGCCTTCGAGTCCCCAGCAGGCTGCTGTGACTCGCTCAGTGCTCTCCGTCCATACCGATGACCACGGAAATCCCAGCCCCATCCTTCCTGGAAGCTGAAGCACGGCTGCAGACCGCTCTGAATCAGCCCCAACTGACTGCTTATGAATTGGAAATTCAGGGTTGTGATCAAAGTTTAGGAGGTCAAGATTAAAATTAAACCCAGATGCTTATTTCCAGGCTCATCTTGACAGCTCTCAGAACCTCTGACTTGGTTCTTTTTTCCATTTTTTTCCCCCAGAGCAGTGAAAGATGTAACAGGGACAGAAAGGAGGGAAACAACCAAGCACGCACATTCCAGAAGGCAAAGCTTCAGCCAGCCGTGACTCAGGGGAAGGAGAGCCACCCACGGGACCGCAGCGGCCCCGGCTCCCGCCCGCGGCATCGGTGAGTCAGGAGCCACCCCCTTGCTCGCCCACGCGCCGTCCCGCCGCGCCAGGGCATCCCTCGGGGCCGCGCACCCACGCCGGCCTCGCGCTGCCCTCCCACCGCGGCGAGAGCCCTCAGGAACGCGGCCCAGCGCCTCCAGGCTCCTGCTCGCGCTCAAGGCCACTACGGGGATTCCCTCCATCCCAGTATCTGTCGGGAAAATGCCAACGCGTCCAAGTGTGTCAGGAGACTGAGGCACCCAGGTCTTATGAGCACTGATGTGTGCTTGAAAGGGGTGAGATGATGCATGGGGATTGCTTTAGTGAGGCTGTGTCAATGCGGTGGCAGGAGCCTCCTTGCAAGGGGTGACAATGCTGCTCAGCACCATCGCTCCCAACCACTGCCGATATTGGACTGTGGAAGGACAGGTGCTCTTGACCATCTCTCTGCATCCTCCTGATGGGTTGCATTGCAGAGGTCAACCTGTAAGCTAAAACTGTGGCTACCTAAACACGAGGCTTCAAACACATCCCCTGGCACAAATCACGTTGCTATTCCTTCAAGACGCAGCAATTTTCATTTTAATGCCGTAATCGAGCCCTCTGCGGACATGCCAGGCTCTGCAGACCGTACAGAAATACCAGGGCTGGCTGATTCCAGATCATGTGCTGCTGCGAAAGCCCTGAAGGAGAAGCAAGGCAACGAGCCAAATGAAGGGGCACATGAGAAAAGAGCAAGGCATGAACCGAACTAATGGCTCAGTACTTTTAGGATTTGCATTGCCCTTCCTCAGTGCTACCCATGTCCTCTTCTGCATGGGTGGGAAATGACCACGTTGTCCTAAAAATACTCCAGAATGGGAAGGCTGCAGCTTGCCTGCAGCGTGTCCTTAGCAGTGCCGGTTTCTCCCTGAATGTCCTTACCTTCTTGCAGAGAACCATCTGGTGATCGAAGAGAAAGAAAACGCGCTGCTGGTTCCGTCCATAAGGCTGGTAAATCCAGGACATCTCCCCTGTGTAGATCAACTCAGAGCTGCGGTCCAAGATATCGTCTCCCTAGAGGGCACAGAGAACAAAGCAGGGTGAATCACTGCTCCCCACTCGCAGTGAATACTGGGCTAGCTAGGGAGGAGTGGGAATTAAATGTCACTTTAAACCTCCTACATGTCCCCAAGCTGCCCCACCTGAGCAGAAACCAGACCATCCCCATGAGCTGCCTGGCCCTTCTAGCCCGTCTCGTGGCACCCAGCTCTCCAGCTGCAGGAGGGATGGGAATGGCCGCAGTCTTGCCGTGATGCCTCAAAGCACATCCTCGAAGCAATTCCCTCTTCTACCACACCAGGACAGCGAATGCCCCTGGGGACCCCGACATTAGAGCTGCACAACTCAAGTCCCTGACTAAGCATCTCAGGACATCCCAGCCATGAACAATCAAAGTCAAATGAAGTAGGATATCAACTTTCCCTCCCTCGAGGCTGTGCAAACTAATCCTTCCAGACTGCTGCCTCCCTTCCCTCTCTTCCAAGCAAACAGATCTGCTTCTCTTGTAGGTCGTTAGAGCTCCCCATCTCTGGGGAGCTGTCAGGACCACCCCAGTTGACCAGCAGCAGCCAATCCCAGCAGCAGCAAGGCTCCCCAGCAGCCTGCCAGGATGCCCTCGCCCCAGCTCTGCCTCTGGCTAATGCTTATTTTCCTGCTTATTTTCCTCTCCTCTTTTTTTTTTTTTTTTTTTTTTTAAGGATTCATGAGCAGATGGTCTTGGAAACACAGCTCGCTCTCTCCCACTCTCAGAGAGAACAAATGCAGTCACCCTCCACTAATTGGGATGAGCTGGACTTTCTTAAAAGTTAATTAAAATCTATTTATTAAAAGTGGGTGAATTCGCCACCACCTGCCCCGTGGGCATCTCTGTGCATCTCTGCAACGCTGCAGAAGAACCTCAGCCGCAGCGTAAGGAGCAGGATGGGGGAGCCCAGGAGGGAAAGCTTTTCCTTTTGGCTCCCAAACTAATATAGATCTGGTTCTGCTGCTGAGTGAGAGCCAATTCTAGGACAAGGCCACTCCGAAATCTCGGCAGACAGCACGGAAGGCTTCAGCCAGCTACGGGGGACATCTGGAGAGACGGGCTTTTCTGGTACCGCTTAGGCCTGCAGGTGCCAAAGGAACCAAGCACCAACCTGCCTTCTAATTTCGTGGTTTGGATTTCAAGCTGCTGCTCAGGTAAATGTGTAATTAACCTCTCAGCATCGATCACAAATGAATGCCTGAGCCCCTGGGCTCGATGACAACAGCCACTTCGCTAAGTTGCTGCATCGTCATGCTGCAGCAGAGGCTTTGCAATGGCCTCAGCGAGGTGCCTGTCACGCCCCTCTCTTGGGGGCTGATGCTCTTGGGGTCTGATCCCAGTCTTTTCAGAAACTGGGTCCTGCTAAGACAGCTCAGGTATAATCAAGCCTTGCACAAGGAAGCAAACAGATGGGCTCCAGAAGTCGCAGGCCAGCCTGACTAACCACGAGCTTATGTGGAGAAGATTCATACCAGCCTATGGATGGGAGCTCTTATGAGGAGAGGCTGTCTGCTAAAAATAGAACGCCAGCTCTGTGCTTTACTCCTGTGGTTGCATCTAAAGCCTGAGGACACACAGAGGACTCTGTAAACACTTCTACTTGATTAGCCAAATCCAGACTGTGTAGTCCCTGCAAGCAATATGAAGGGGGGAAAAATGATAGGATTTGTATTGCATTTTTTATGCTGTGAGAACTATTTATACATACAGTCTATTGGCTAGAAATAGATGGTTCCCAATGCCACGTTTGCAAATTTGGACATATATATTGCAGAGAGCTTTAGATTTGCATACAGCTGGCCAGCCTTCAGTCCCCAAGAGCAGTGCTCTCCAAGGCCCTGCCTGCTCCTAAACCCTCGGCTGCTGCGATAATTCTGCCTCGGCTGCGCTGCCAGAGCCTCTTAGAGCAGATGTCATGAGCCTTGAAAGGAGGTTTTTGGTCAACACAATTACACCACCTCTCCAAATGGCCAAACATCTGCAAGCAACCTCCAGAGAGGCTAGACCTCCTCTAGCTTTCTGTAAGTTGAGAGAAACACTATTAGCGAAGGGGATGGATTTCCAGTAGTTCTGCACTATCAGAGGTCTTGCACTGTGGCAGAGACCTCTTTCTTCTGCCCAGTTGCCCAATTGCCCATGTGGGGTGCAGTAATGGGAGCAGTAGCTCCCCCTCGGGCTCACCAGCACCGCAGGTCCTGGGGCCAGACCCCAACGCGGTGGCAGGGGTCAGCCCTGCTGCTCTGCAGAGATGCAGATCAGCCACTGTGCGGCCAGGGAGCACTGCGGGAAGGGACCCAAGGGTTGAGCAGCATCCCTAAGGAAAAGCCCTTGGGGGAAGCAGCAGAATGAGGGCAAACACTTCCCCGTGAGCTGCAGCGAGCTAAACCACTACTCCTTCCCCATGGGAGCAAGATGTTACCTGGGTGGCTGCAACTGAAGGCTTGGAAATCGCCACTCGTTGGACGCAGGCACCCAAGCCCAGCACCCAGCACGGCTTCTGCCACCGCGGCCGGGCACAAACCCCCCGTGCCTCGTTAGCATTCAGCAAGCAGGGCGCTCTGCTGCCTGCCGTGGCTGCTCTTTAATTAGGGACTGACAGGCTGATTAGCACCCCGGGCTACGGAAAGATCAGAAAAAAAGGAAAGCAAGAGAAATGCTGTCCTTTTAATCAGGCTCATTTTCGATACCTTCTGTGGCTGGGAAAAAAATAAAATAAGAAAGGAGCCATTGCAGCCCCTGATGTGATCTTTCCCAGGAGGATTTCTCATCAGACCATCCTCACTTTGAAAACACTACACTGGTCACATGCATCATCCTTTCTTTCTTTCTTTTTCTTGGTTTTTTTTTTTTTTTTCTCATGTCATTTTGGGATTTAACAGCATAATATTAGGCTGAAGCCAACTATTAAGCATTACATAATTAAGGGCACTGAGGCTGGTTTTAAAGGACCTGTAAATAACAAGAAGGGGAAGAAATTTAAAAGGGCAGTGTTCGTTATCTTTCTCAAACATACACATATATTTTGCCCTTCATGTGAATTCAGTACTCTCAAAACCTGGCAAATTGGCAACCCAAGGGACTCAGTGATGGAAATATCTAGAAATCTACATAAAGCAATGCCGTTTGTTTAAAGCTTTGGAGGAGCAGCTTAAGCTTTCCCCATGGCTGATGAGCTGGGCTCTCCCCTGTGTCAGCATCCCCTCAACTGGCCCAGGGTCCTGCAGCGATGCCCATCCCGTGGATGGCCACCATAGGCAAAGAGTGCTGGCCACTTTGCCTCCCTCCTCCAGGCCATCTTGGGCTGAACGGGAGGACAGTGGATTCTGATCCAGGGGAGACTTTGCTCTGAGGTGGCTCCAACTAACCTTGTGTGCCAGCTTGGCCACTAAATGTCACTGCTTTGATCTGAGGGTAGGCAACCATGGACGAGGGGACAATGCAGAGTGAAGGAACACACAGGCTGGACACCAAGAACCACTCCACAACAAGGAGAGCTCCTGGAGCTTGGGAGGTCCCTGCGGGAGGTGGTGAAAATCCTCTCCTCTGAGCCACGAGCAACCGCAGGGAACTGGGGGCAGGCAGGGCCAGCACCTCTCCAGGGCTCTTTACATCTTGGAAATTCAGGTTGCAAAAGCAAGAAAAAAAATGAGTCACACGTGGCATCAGTCCAAGCCAGGCTTTTCAGTCAGGACCACGTTCCTGCAAGCTCTGCAGGACCTGCACTTCAAAGCGATTGGGATCATGTCTGATTTACGGCAGCCAGAGCGCTCAGCATCTTCCCTTCAGATTTTGCTCAGTCATGACTCGCACAAGGCTGCCAAAATTGCCAGTAATTCCTCAGACTTCATGCCCTGGCTGCCACAGCAGCTATCAGCTACTGCTACAGTCAGGCCACCCTTACGTGGTCCCATTTGCAATACAAACCATCTTTCTATCTTATTTTATTTTCAGGTCACTATTAAGTATGCATCCCAAATAACATCCTCTCCTTATGAGTGTATCTGTAGACATACTCTATTTCCTGGCCTTGAATATTCACAAATATCTCAAATATTCACTCACTAAACACTATTTTTGCTTGGTTTGAATTCTTCCCTTTTTAAAAATTTTTTTATGATCTCATTGGAAAACACAGATAAATTTAGAAATTAAAACACAATTTCCAAGCAGAAAGGCAAAAACGATAGCCTAGAGATATGGAAGGAAAACATAGAAACATTTCAACAAAATTAAACATTTCCCCTTGGTCTTCTCTTGAAATAGCCTAAGTAATGCAACAGGCTGTGGCAAACCATTAGGTGGAAAATAGGGATCCTCTCTAGCTGGTTTTATGAAGCTTGTACTCCAGGTGCTCGGCTCAGCCGAGTGGTATTTTGGAGGCTAGCAGCTTGGACTTGCAAGGCCAAAGACTCTCTGCACAGATCTAGGGCAGATTTAAGTATCTGGCCTCGCTTTTGATCTCTCCAACTCTCTTTTTTTTTCAATTTAATTTAGTTAACTTGCGAGTATTTTTCCCCCCTCATCTTCCTGGCCATTACACGGACATCTGTGATGCAGGGGCTGGATTTGAGGATTCAGAGGTTACTTCGGAGGCAAAAATCAAGCAGCAAAATCCTCTGCTGGATCAGCTCGCATAATCTAGCGTTCTTACCACAAGCCTATGATTCTTCCTGATCCATAATACAGAAGTAAAAATGGCAAGAAAGCTGCTTTCCTTTGAAGGGGGGCAGGATCTGATTCCCATCGGAGCTCTGCAGTAGCAACAGCAGTGTCTGTTGTGTGATGGAAAGCAGGACATTGCTGCAATAACGTGTTTAAAATATGGAGAAGTAACTGGGGGAAAAAAAAACCCAAACCCTGAAAGCAGGATTTGGAAGTAGGATTTGGCAGGTTCCTAAGGGCAGGATGGGAATAAAGAATGGGTACAGCTAAGCAGGAATGAATTATTAAGGATAAGTAAAAATGAATCAACTGTGCTAATGGAAGTGAAAAAGAAACTACTATACCATAGATCCTATATGGAGGTCACCTTGGCCTTCCACTCACACATGAATATTAATTGACTTGGAATTGATCTGTCCTTAATCTAGATTTATTCATCTCAGTGACGGTCCTGGCGTTTCTTACAAAGGACCCCCAGCCGCTCATCACGCAGAGCGCAGCGAAGGCTCAACATAGACCTGATGGCCCTCGTGCCACCTTGGGAGCCGTTTTCTCCTTCCGAAAACGAGTCTGTGTGTCAGGATCAGAGCGTGCTTTCTTCCCGGTGAGCAACAATAAAACAATCAGGGAAACCATCTGCGTTCCCTGCTCTATCCGTCACTCAGAATACAAGAACCAACGATCGCCGCGTTTATGCACTTTATCCAGAGAGCCAAAGCTTAATGTCACCCTCCTGAGAGCAATATAACTAATAAAACACATTTGGAAGGAGATGCACCTGCCTTTCTCCTCCTCCAAGCCTTCCTACATCTATTCTTGGTAAAAGAAAAAAACTATTAAAAGTTTAACAATCGGCCCTATACATTCATTTTCATAGTTTGGTCCCATTGACTTTAATGTTGAGTTATTCCAGACCTTCATAACTGTAAAGAGAAGGGAAGTCATTCCACTGCTATATGAATCTACTTGCTAAACACATGGCTTGATTTAAAATAGAAGGGGATTTGCAGAAATCAGACTTTGGTTCAATTCAAAATCCCTACTTACAAGTCACATCCATACACCAATTTAAAAATTCAGGGAGGAAAAGAAAAGGAGAACAAAAGTGTGTTTTGGACTAAAAAATAAACAAAACAAAATAGCACAGCAGACTAGAGGCCTCGTAGTGAGGCTGCTGACTTTGCCTTGCCTTTACTTCTCAGTTCATTGATCATACCATGACTAAAGGCTTGGTTCAAAAACCTCTTTATATGACTACTCACTTTAAATGTGTAAATAGCTTTGCTAGCTTCAGCTTAATATTTTGGCTTCTAACCATAAAGCCATCACCAGGAGAGTTTTCCCCACTGTCTTAAGCTGTCACAGTTCCCATGGTTTTCTGCTACCTCTTTCTATAAGAGGTACCTGACAAATACCTGCCCAGAGGTTGATTCAGATGTCACAATACGACGACACTGCAATCACCAGACTTACTCCAAATTTGTATCAGGGAAATGAGAAATTGAGCTTAAACAACCTTCAGAGCACCACTAGTGTTCTACATCTTAAACACCATCCCCAAGATCAATGGTCAATATGTCATCATCTCTGTTCTAAGCTTAATCCTGATGCTGGGATATTCTCCAACACATACCCCACGCAGGTCATGTGAAACAAGTTACATCTTCTAGGATGATTCATAAAAAGTGCATCGAATTTACTTTTTTTGCAGGCCTATAGCAGCAAAGGAGGACACAGTGGGTACGTTACCTCCCAGTCCAGGACAGAGGCCTGCCACTGCGCTATCTTGTCGATGTTCTCCAGCCTCCTCTTCCGCTCGTTGATCTGTTGAGTCACATTCCTCATGACTGCGAGTGCGGCAGCCACATACCTGTAGTCACTGTCAAACACAGAAAGGAGAATGTGACCATGAGCCTGAGATGCACTGGAGATGTACAGGAGTCTATCCTTAGCAATGATGTCATCTCACCACCTTTTACATGGAAATGCAGGCAGGATTGCCTGCCACTTGCTCCTCTGATGTTGTATCTTTTCCACCAGCAATAACCTTCCTCATTATCCCAAAAGGTCAGTTGCTTAAAACTGAAGCTGTGTGTGTGTATGGCACACAAGTGGGCCAAGTCCTTGGTTTCCATCAGGAGAGTCCAACTCAGTTTGGTCTGGCTTCTACTAGTATAGCCTATAGAACTTCAGGGGTATCAAGGCCTCATCTTAGTCTACTCTTGTAGACTACTTAAGAGTAGACTCTTAGTCTATTCTTGTATGGCCAAGCCACAGGCTTCCCTGGCCCCACTGTCTGCCTACATTTGCCAGCGTAGCTAGAAGGGCAGAAGAACCAGCCACTACAGTGAAATCTCACACCCCCAATACACTCTGCCCAGCTTGACCACAAGGAACCAATAAAACCACCAATGGAAACACTACTAGTAAATGATCTCACAGTCTTTAAGATGTTAGGTCCCTTCCAAACCATAAGGTGATTCCAGTAGTATCACCAAGCATTTATCCTGTGGCATTTGCTCTCACTCACTGCAGACTTCAGGTGAGCAAATCAAAGTAATTCTCTCTTTTTTTTTTTTTTTCACCCCAGACAGGCGTGTGAGTCTAATAACACAGAGTGAAAATAGTTTCCTGCCAGAGCCAGCGAAGATGATGATCAGTCTTTTCAAAAAGTGATGCTGAAATCAATGTTATTGATTTCCACCCCGTGCTTGCTTTTCCATTCCAAAGAACCTTAATGTTCATTTCAATTGGAAAGACAGACAGGGCCCGCTGCCGTAATGCCACCATAATTTATTGTTAACTTAAGGGTTGATATTGACTGCTGACTAATGAGAAAAAGTGAGCTATTGGGCAGCTGCTGGGGGAATGGCTTCATTGATTATTGCTAAGGATTGCACTGGTGACCGTTAAAACAGGGGTGAACTAGAGTGAATCCCTGCATCCATTTCCCCATGTTATACAGAAACAATATTAAATAATCGTAATGCAACATACAACTAAATATTATCTGCTATTTGTCCATCCTTTTTTGGATGAAATCTTGAGATCCTTTCTCAGATTTTAATCATACCTTATGTCCAATTCAAGTTGAGGTTAAAAAAATCAAATAAACTACAAATTCAAAAAAAAAAATAGGGCTAGTCTTAAAAAAGAAAACATCAAGGTAATAGAGATTGGGATATCTGGCTTATAAACAATGATGCACAATGAAGAAACAGAGGACTCTGTGCTATGCTGGAGACACATTCATCTGACCTTTGCAATATCCATGAGATCAGGACGGTTCTGCAGAGGTAGGGAAAGGTGTAGGGCTTAGAGAGTCACCAATAACCCCCTTGGCAGCTCTGCCCATGCCAGCCATGGTGGCACCCATGGGTGGAGTCTCCACCATCCCGCCTCCCACGGGCATGCAGCTCTTGCCTCAACACCTGCAGAGGGGACACTGGGGACGCTAGCAAGCTGCACTTACGACCTTCAGATATTTAATTTATATTACGCTGCTGTGAGTCTTCAGGAGGTGAACAGATGTGGCTTTGTGAAAAATTCAAATGAGCCCCTCCCAAAACAATGAGCAATTCAGCGGAGTGGGGCTGTGAAAAACACCCCCCGGTCGCCTCCGCACCGAGCGGGCCGCTGCCAGTCATGCTGGCTTTATCTTGGCAATGCTAATTCATTAATTCTCATGTTCTGGCTGAAGAGAAATCCCATGTTTTCTTTCACACAGTAATGAAGCAGGAGCTGGGACTGAACCTCTTGTGTTCCTAGCTCATGTCTGTGGCTGAGCTGGCGAAAACTTAGAAGAAAAGTAATAGAAGCAAAGCATTTTGGCCCGTGATTTAATAGTAGGATAGTATTAACTATGAAATTAAGGTAAATTAATTGTTTGTCAATTATATTTGGGATGCAATGACTTCTTCCTAGTGCTCAATCACAATGCAAGCCTGGGCTCTTGCCAATAAGAATGCACCCTCAGGAGAGGGTGATCAGATTCCTGCTCTCAGCTCTGCTGTCTGAACTGGTACAGAGAGGATGCAGAGGTGGAAAAAAAGAGAAAAAGAATATAATGTCCTATCTCAGATGATGCTAACACACTTGCTTTCATCTTGGTCCTTTCTGAGTTATGTCTTAATCTGTAAATGGTTCATTTGATTTTTTTTTTCAAAATGGCATTGTCTGCATTCTCATCTTAATCTGAGTGCCTAATACTTACTCTAGCCTGTGATGGGCTGGTAGGGAAATTAAGCCACAAAAATTTGGGATCCTAGAGCTGGTTTCAAGTGCCCTTATGATCCTATGAGCCACCTCCAGGTTTTATTTGGCCATGCAGTGAAGAGAGAAATAGAATCAGAAATTTCTGAAATATTTATGGTCTTTTTCTTTCTCTGAACCATCTTCCTTTGAGTGGGTTTTAGTAGAAGAAAACAAATTGGCAGGGCAGAGGAAAATCTGTTCTTTCAGATTTTTTTGTTTTAGAAGAAATGATTTCCTAGGTCTTGATCTACACCAGGTCAGCGAATCAGGTTGATGGCCCTCACCATAAGCAAAAGAGATCCTGGAAGTTTTAGGAAATTGAAATTAAATTGTCAGGTGCCCCTCAGAACCAAATATAATGGCAAAAGCATCAATGGAGTTAAACAAAATTCAAAAATCTCCCCAAATCTAAGCGTTTTCATCTTGGGAGTTACGGGCCATGCCCAACTGCTGGGCATGGGGCAACAGAAAGAAGCAGTGAGCAAAACTGCCTGGGAGAAGCCGAGCGTTGCAGTACCTGTGGTCCTGTGCCGTGTACTTCAGCAACTCTGCTAGCTGCAAGGGGTATTTGCAGATCTTCTGCACCGGCGTCAGAAGGAAACCATCTATGGCAATATCAATCATCTGCTGCAACAGACGGCACGCTTCGAAGAAATGCTGGTACCTGCCATCCTTCATCAGCTTGGAAAGCTCCATGCAGGCATCCAAGTGATTGTTACAGTACTCCGAATAGATCCAGAACCCGTCTTGCTGTGGGAGACAGGAGGAGGGATGCACACAGAGAGGAGCACACGTCAGACAAGCATGGCCAACATGCAACCATCTGTTGTGGGACCTGTTCTGCGGGGTCGACTTGGCCGACCCTGTGTAGATTTGCCTATGGTTATATGGCCACAAAACACCCAAGGTGGAAAAAAAGTCCCAAGAGAAACACATTGGCCCATATGTGCCCAGCCATCATTTGCACTTGGTCTAACAAGCGGTCTGGGCGTGGCCTTGGTGGGATCTCTCTTTTCTGCCTCCATTGACCATGGATGGCAACTGGTCACCCCCTAATTCAGGCCTGGTTTATCTAGGGCTCACCAAGCAGCCAGGCCTTGGAAAGTGAAGCCCAATCCTTTAAATATACTTGACCAGCAATTCCTAGTTCTCAGATATTTCACTTTTCTGGGGATAGGGAAGCCTGTGCCTGACTGCGTGCCATGTGCTGAGCACCTCTCTCTTACTCCAGTCTCTGAGCAACAAAATGCTTTACAGATCCAAATAACCAAATCTGAGTATTCTTCTCTCAGCTTCCCAAACACTTATACAGGGAGACTTTATTGGGAATTCATTAGTTGGTTTTCAACCCCATGGGAATGACAACAGATCAGATGAGGCATGGGGTACCCCATGCCCAGGATGTGCTGTGGGATAAGATGCTGTCCCCCCAGCACATCACTGCTTTGCCACATGCTAGTTATAATTTCCATCTTCTTAAAAAAGAAAATAAACAAAAAGAAAAGACACCCAGAGCATGTGAGTTCAAGGGAGGCCAGCACGGCCTGAGCCTCAGCATGGGGCACAGCCCTCACCACCGTGGCCACGAGGCATTTCATTCCTCGTCGCGTGGCGCGATTCTGCTTAATTTCTGGCCAGGGGAATTACTATTTCCGTGCATTGCTCCCCGCTCCCTCGAGCACCTCGCACTAAAGATACACAGAGCGATGCTAATGCCATCATGTAATTTCTCAAAAATAATGCTGCTTTCCAATTAGGAGAGCAGTGATGCTTAAGAGCAGCTGCAAACCTTTCCAGGGCTGCCCTGCTGAAGGTTTCGGACTAATTTCTCTAATTCGGGACTAATCAGTAATTTCTTCTGCAGTAAGTGAATATGGTTAGCTCGGCCTGGTGATAAGGAACAAGGTAAGACATTATGGGAGCTGCATCCTGGGCTGGAGCACCTTGTACATAAGCTCTGGTACGGCACTTTAGTCTCCTTAAAGGGAGGGGAAAAAAGGGAGAGAAAAGGATTTTCTCTAAAAGAAAGTTAAAAAAAAAGGCCTCTAATTTTTTTGACATTTTGTGACATACTTAAACACCAGCCAGTTCATCATCTCCTGGTTTATATAATGGCAAGACGGGTGGGTAAAAGCTTCCAGGACTAACTGCATTGTCAGTGAAAATGCCTTTGGTTTGCATCTTTGCATACATCCAAGGATTTGCTGCCACCAGCCCGAGGCACCGAGTGGCTCCTTCCAACCGGCGTCACTGGGAGCTGCAGCCGCGAGGCTCCCACCCTGCAAACGCATCTCCTAGCCAGGACGAACAGCCTGAGCCTTTGCCTTGCTCTCCTGCTAGCAAGCCCCTGACAGTCCACAGTTTTTAGTGGTAAACCCAGTTCTTTGGAAAATGCTAGGTGAAAAGCCCTCTGCTCTTTTTCTAAATTTTCTAGAAAAATACTGCTTTGCTTTTGGATCAGCTTCTCTCCTAGGAAGACAAATTTATAGGTGAGCAAGATCTCTTTAAGCTCCTTGCGACTCCCTTACCTCTTTCAGCCTTACTGTTTTTCTCAATCTACAAGGGGGCTTAAGTTGTATTATGAAGAGCAAAAAAAGGTGGGCCTGGGTGATGGAAACATCCCCAAAAATCAAAAAAAGAAGAAAAAAAAAGCCGAGTGCACTTACATGTTCCAGGAAACATGGTCCAATTTCACTGAGGTGGGGGTCCTCATTGTTGTACTGTTTCTCCAAGTCCCGGACAAAACCCATCTGGAACCTGTAGATATCTTCAATGTTGCCAAAGATGACCTTCAGCTGCTCATCACTGAACATATCCCTCCTCTTCCGGCACTGCTTTAAATAACCCTGCAAGGAGTAAGAAAGAGCAAGGCATAACATAACCTGAATTCTGTCAATCCCAGGAGAGTGTCAAGAAGGTAAACACCTCTTGTTTTAGAGAAGAAAGCAGTATATGTAGCTGGGTGCTTTTACTGCTGCAACTCTGCAAAGGGAGAGTTGCCCTCGGCACCTCAACCCTCACAGCCTGCAGCCCCCCTGGCTCTGCCCGCAGGCCGCAGTTGACTGATGGCTCCCGAAAGGCAGCTCCTCGGAGCCGCCAGCTCTCCCCAGCGTCTGGGCTCCCTGGCCACTGGGCTAGCGGTGGGAGCTGCCGATTAATGCCACCTAGAGGTACACGGCATTATTTTAACTTTGGCTTCCTGCTCCTCATTTGCATCCCCCAAATCCACTATTCCAAGCAGTGTAAAAGGAGGCAGAAATTCAGTCCTGTTGTCTCAGCTTTTGCCTTTCTTTCTTTCTCTTCCTTTCTTCAGCAGGACTGGGTAGAAAGGCTTTGTGTCCTGTTCTGTACAAACATCAGAGTTTAGAGGCATGAGAGATGGATGGTGAAAGAGAGAGGAGGAATTAGGATCCAGAAAGTTTAAGGAAATCTTCCCAAGTCACAAAATGAATCTGTGGTGGAACTGGAAAAAAAATCAGCCCTCTGAGTCCCAGCTCAATGCAGCAGTATAAAGATCCTCCTTCTTCATCCACCTAACGATTGGTCCTGATGCAAAGCTTAGCCAGACATCAAACAGGAGCTGGTCCAGACACTCACCACTCTGCTTTAACCCAAACTACCAAGAATTCAGACCATGAGCACATGTGGCCTCGGGATGGATTCAGGACAGCTGGGCTGTATTCCTGCCCCTGCCTCACATCCGTGTGCCACATCCCTTCACCTCTCTGCACTTGGCCTCCTCGTTTCAAACCAGAAACTTTGCACGGGCCAAGTATCAAGCGCTATCTACTGTCTTAGTGGCCTCCTGCCTGTGGTCTCTTGACTGAAATGCCAACAGCACGGGGGACATCACGGGATGGCTTTGCCTTTTCTTATGTATGGAGAGAGAGAAGAAACATAAGGAAAAAAGTGTCGATGGTCCCACTTGGATGGCTATATTTGGGCACTATAGATGCTTAGTCACACAGTGAGCAGCCAGCTGGTGACACACAGCTGCTGAGGGACAATGCAAACCATTGCAATGCTATAATAAACCGTCCTTCAGCCTCACCATGTGGTTCCTGGGAGGGAGAACTTCACATAGATGAATGATAAACGCAGCTTTGGCCAACATGGCAAAGAGCCAACCTCGGAAATGTCCAGCTTAGCTAAAGGACAACATCTAATGAACTGGCTTGCTCCTTCAGCGGGGAAGCCTGGGTTATGCAGTACCTTTCACACTGGCCAAATGTAGGTCTCTGCTTTCAGGGTTTCCTTGGGAGCTCCTTGCTGACTCATTTTCCTGGGTTTCCCACTTTCATTTATCAAGGCCAGGAGGAATGGGAGCAGGCTGCTTCCCAGCTTGCAGGGCAGTTGCAGGGCACATAAAAATCCAGTCCAAGCCAGCAAGGAATAAAGGAAAAATTGTGCTTTATTGCAGTGCTTTTCTGGATCAGCTGCTGATGTCAAAAGAGCTGAAGTAGCCACATGGGCTCGCTCACCTGGCAAGGTCAGGCTCTCAGACCCCAGCTCTGGTGCTGAAAACCAGCTTCCCTTCCTGCCTGCCCTGCTCTGAGAGACCAGTCAACGGCTGATTTATGTGAACATCCTTCAGCCTTGGGGTTGCTCTTGCCTGAGACCACTCACTGTCTTGAACGTTCCCCGTCCTCTCCACGCTGGTTCATCACTTCATCCAAGTCATGCATTTCTGAGAGACTGGAGCAGTACGTTGCTGCATGGACACCTAGCAAACCACTGGGAAAAACAGGGGCATGCATGGAGTTCCCAAGCCTCATCCTGCACCTGGCCTGTGCATGCGGACAGGTCCTTTCCAGCACAAGTGAGTAAATGGGAGGCTAAAGATTTATATATAAAACATTGCAAGTGCCAGCTAGAAGGCGGCTGCCTAGTTTTTCCAGTAAATTTACCTCTGTTACGTAAAACAATGTCATCTTCCTCCTGCTCTTCCCATCAGAGTTGCTCAGAGAAGGGATACCTGACTGACGAGCAGATGTTGGAGACTGCTTTTGCTCAATGAATACCTAAAAGTAGCTGTCAGACCGTCTCCCTTTAAAGTACTTTTCCATGTAGTCCCTAAGGCACATTCCAAAGTTGGAAAGTTTTTGTAGATGGATGAGTACTAAGTTTTCTCCAAGCCAGTGTGGGCACAGGAAGTCAGGAGCAGTGGCTCCCATCCTTTTCCTTGTCTCACTGACAGAAAGGGAAAGGAGGGGATGAGATTCCAATTTCTTTCCATTTCCAAGCCAGCTTGGAGAAGAACTTGCCTTTTCGACGATGCTCCCGTTTGGACAGCGCTGGGCTGCCTAAGGACACGGCTCTCCTCCCGCCGCAGCTCACGTCACCTCCTTCGCCCCGGCACTTGCTAAGGTGCCTCCGGCCGGAGTGTCACCGCCGCCCTGCCCGTGTCACCCTGCGTCAGGCGCTGCCCAGTCAGCCGCCCGCTCCAGGCTGCGCGCTGCCGCTCCCACCGCCCCTGCCCTTTGCAGCCACAGGAGCTCCAGGTGTTTGGGGCATCTCCGGAAGGTGAGTGCAGCTCTCGGACTCACGGTGGCCACAAGGATATCTCTGCACACCAGCCATAGACAAGATGGCATTTTGGCCCCAAATCTTCACAAAACGGGATGCTGGGCATCCCTGAGGAAGGGCACAGCGCTGGCAGCTGCGGTGGCTGCAGGGATGCTGTGATGGGCAGCAGCCTTGCAAAGCTCTGCTTGCACAGGTCATTTTTATTCTGGTGCCAGCCAGCTTTGGAGCGCCAGCCTTGGCAGGGCTAGTACGATGAGTATTATGAATAATACCACAGTGTATAATATACCATCCAGCATGGATGTGAAAGCAGAAAAGGAGCAATCTGAGGGCTCTTCATCACCTAGCAGGGCTACAGCCTTGCGATAACTACCACTGTCCCCAGGTCCTCCTGGGTGCCGGCAGGACTTGTTATGCCACGCAGCACTGAGGAGGCAGCTACACGGTGCTAAACGCAGCACTAAATCAGGCCCAGCCTTCGCCACCTGGACTCCTCTGTAATCCTCAGCAATTCATCATAAAGCAGCTGCCTGCCCTTAAAACAAGGGGCTGAGGGGTAGAGGGGATTTGCCCCCGTCAATGACACTTCTGCCTCTCATCAGTTCACCAAGACCAGGGGAGCTCCAGCTCCAGTCACCCTTCTCCTTTGCACAGACCCGGCCCCAGGAGTATTGCAGAAAGAGCTGGCCACAACTCAGCTGTCTCTGAGCCCTCTCCAGGCAGGACAAATCGCTCTGACTACACAGAGCAAAATGAGATTTCCCCAGCAACGGGAAGCCTGACATTTTGTGGATGAGAAGGCCCCGTGCAGCTTCTTCCTTCTTTGGTAGGAGAGGCAGCTGAATCATTCCCAGGACTCTATCCCCAAGGGCAGCTGGAGCCCCTCAATACCATTTTGCATCCTACAGAGCAAGGTAAGAGCCCTAGAGATTTCCTTCACATCCAGGGCATATCGTTCGGTGCTGAAAATCATTGTCACTGCCAAACAATGTTCTCTTTTCACCTGTTGAGAGTCTAACATGGCAAAAGCCTGGGGACATGGCTGGCAAATGCAAGTTCTGGGATGCTTTTTTTCTTTTTTACACAGCTTAAACAGGCAAAGAAAGAGTACGTGCAGAAGCTCCTCCAGCTCTTTGCTTCTTCAATGCAAACACCTCAGACGGAAAAAAAACAGTGAAACGAAGCTCCTCTGTTCCCAAGCTGAACACCAAGATGCTTCCATACTTGAGAAGCTTTGCAGTGCCAGGGGCTTTACTTGTTGCCATTAAGCCTGTGCTGCAAGACACCAAGGCTTTGAAGATACCATCTCAGACTGATGGTAGTCATAATATAGCAAAGAACTGGGTTGAGGACATGAGGGATCCAGGGGCCTGGGTCACCCGCTTGCACTTGCCCTTCCACCACTGTGATGATGATGTCCAGCTCACTGGACGCAAAGAGGAGCCATCTCAAGCAGGGGAAATCTCGAACATGATGTGGAAGATGGGGATGAAATAGTTAACCAATTTGTTTAATTACAAGCTAATTCCCTCAATCATGAGTTCCAAAGTAGCTAGCAATAGTTGGCAATGAGATTTCATTAAGAGGAATGCTTGAAAGATAAAACCTCATCATTTTTTCAGTCAGAGAGGTATGGGAAAAAAAATCCAAAAATTGTATTTTTGTTAATACAAACTAAAGCTAATTAACAGACCTAGTAGAAAATACTCAGAAGTATCAATATATATAGACAGATAATGCTCCTATATTATATAGGCTAATTGTAACCACACTGTGTCTCCTGCTCCCATCACCTCCATGCAAGCTCTTCACAGCCCACCTTGTGTCCTGCAGTGGCACTCAACCCACCCAGCAGTGTGGCCCTCGCGTCACAGCCCGCCTCGTACCTCGCAAATGTCCTTGAGGTGCTTGATATAATGACGCTCTGTGCTCATGATTTCGTTGATGACATTGGCTCTCATCTGGTCTCGGTTCTGGAGGGTCCTGCCGAGACAGAGGCAGTCGGCGCTTGGGTCCAAATGGCCATTCTGCACTTCGCTGGTTCCTTCCTCCACGCCGTCCTCTTGGTTCACCCATAGCTGTGAGGAGAAGAGGGAATAAGGAGAGGTTGGAAAGGGGTCAGGAGAGCACTACCTCGAGACTGGTTTGGTAGTTGAGTGGAGGATCACAGGATCACAGTCCCAACTTCACAGCCCACTTTTCCCCAGTGTGTCCCCTCGCTTGGGTGGCTCCCAAAACAGCTCTCAGGAGGACACTGATGCACCAGGACAGCTAGAGGAGCTTACAGCTTCAAAAAAGCCATTTTTATTTTGGCATAACCATCCTCAGTGGTTATGTCATTTGCAAAGACATTTTAACTTACAACCCTTTTGGTCCCAAATAAAAAGTGATCATGTGAAGGCATAACCGGACTGCTGGAGGCTGTCAGGGGCAGTGAACCAAGAGCTGCTCGTACACAAAAAAGACTAATCTAAAATAAATGTGGTAAATGAATCAAGTTTTCTTCTCAACAGTCAAAGACCAAAATACTGGAGGACTTGAAGCTTAAAACAGATCGACCTGTAAAATGTCAAAATGTCCAAGCAAAGGGGAGGACAGATTGAAAATGAATGGCAGAGCTAACCTAACCTTCTCATTGTGTTTGCCATTCTCATAGTTTTCAATCTTTTCCCCATTATTCAGCCCAAACTCCATTTTCACTCCCTTGATCAGCAAGGGCTGCTTTTTTCTACCTTGGTAAAGCAAAGAACCCTAAGCCTTCTTCACCCAACACTCTTCCCCCTTGCAAATGACTGCATTTTGCTCAACAATATCACCACCATTTTAGTTCAAAGCTCTTGGGAAGCAACTCTCTGCCATCAATGCCATAAATTTTAGTGGGGGCTTGGCTCTAAAAACCTCGGGACTGCGCACGGAGTGGGAAGTGGGCTGGGAATGGCACAACTGCATCTGTGAGCTCAGAGGGATGCAGGCCCATGGCAACATTATCACTCATCCAAGCCGAGCGCGCGTTGGAAGTCAAGCAGCACTAAGGTGGACACCCATTCCTCCAGTCTTGCCAGGTGGAAGTGAGGAAGATCTGCCCAGTCCTTCTGCAAAAAGGTGTTTCTGCAGAAACACCTCCCAAGAGCCAACTGCAGCAGCTTGTTACCAAGTGACAGTTCAGGCAGCTTTACAGCACAGAATATTTTTTTTTAAAAATCTATTTTCATTTTTAAAAATATATCAAAGCTAACCTTCATGACAGTGGAAGGGAAAAACCTGGAAAGCCTGAATCCTGAAGTTTTGGAAATTGGCTCAGAGGAGGGCTCAGTCACAGGAGTCCTGCTTTCTTTTTTAATCCTTAATGAAATGTTTGCTCTTTCCTGTCAGAATTCACACTTCCAAGTGGAAAAAGTTGCTGTTCCAATCCAGAGAGCTTCTGTTTTTCATTAAAAACACATGCAAAGGCATCATCATTACGCGAGGAAGCCAAATGCTTCTCACATCCAGTGCTCTCCAGCTTCAACCACTGGAAAGCGTGATCCCGCTACAGCGCTTAGCAATCCTGCTTTTTTTGACCTTTACCTTGAAATTCTGTTAATGTCTGCTTTTTTTAAAAAAAAATATTATTTTTATTTTTGGCAGGGGAATCACTGGTTTCCTCTTGCATTATTTTACTGAAATTCTTTCAAGCGGTGCTGAAATCACCCTGACGGGTAGCTGCTGTACACAGGCTTTTAACTTCGTGTCAGAGATAAGCACTGGAGTTCAGAATTTACACAGTCCACCTTCTAACAAAACAAGCCCAAATCTCAGGCCAGGCCCCTACTCTCACTCAAGGACATGTATCCACCTCGCTGCACAGAGCTCAGTAGCTCCATCGAGAGTCATTCTTCCAGGAGATCTTTCCAGGGAAAACTTGGACCAGAGCTGCACGAAGAGGAGTTCCCATTCCAGCTCTACAGTTGGCTTTGGACCAAGCACTTAAATGACAAAATAGGCACTATGTTCCTCACCACTTACATTATTTATGAATAATTTCAGGGTTCTCGGACTGCAAGGTGCAGAGGGGCATGACAAAGGCCATGCAGAATTCTAACGTGGACTTAACACATCACAGTGGGCCTGCCCTGTTCTCGTAGCCAAGCCCAGGCAATCCTTGGCCTTGGAGGACCCTTGGTCTGACTCCGTAGGGCTGTTCTCACAACTTGAGCTGCTCCATTCGTACAGCTCCCAAACCCTGCTGCGGAGAGGCGGCCGCGCCGCCTCGGCGCCAGGAAGTGTTGCGCGTCCTGCAGCGGGAACGGTGTCCTTCGACCCGCGGCCGCTCCGCCAGCCACACGCTCTCCACTTGGCCGGCCCGCTCGCGCACACTGCCGGCACGGGCTGCTGGAGGCGACAGCGAGGCGCAAACGGCAAACTCTGGGTGATGCCACTTTCCCCCAGTACCTTATAAATGTCATATTCGGTCCATCTAAACAATACTCCAAATGTCACTATTTTCGCCCACTCCACAGTCCCTATTTGATTCTTGCAAACACCCTCCTGCCTAAAATGCTTGAGTTGCTGCAGATAGGAGTCAAGGCAGCACCGAAGGCAAAACCCATCTCCTTTGCTTGGGGACTTCACTGTGCTCTGACCACAAGTGCACTGAGCTGCCTCTGTCAGCACAGCAAAGCCTGTGTGGGAAAAGCAGCTTCAAAACTCCGCTCCTTTCTTTCCTGTTTTGCCTCCTATCCCCAGTTTTCCTTATTCAAGACAGGCAGCTGTCAGTCTGTGATGACTTCCCCAGAAAGGCAATGGGAATTAAGCTCCCAAAAGTTTGTCAGCTCTGCCACTCTCCAGGTTCCTGTCCAAAGGAATAGGGCTTGGACAGCTTTGCATCCAACCTCTTCTTTTTTTGTACACAAAAAAATACATTTTTTTAGCAACAATCAACAATCCTACAATACAAATCCGCCTTCTGTGCCTTTTTTAACACCTCAGCAATGCAAAAAAACACTGGCACTGAGATGATACAGTCTCCCCCACACCCTCTAAAGGTCTGGCACACGGAAAGAAACAGAGCCTACCCTGACAAAATGCCATTAGAAAATCATTTCAAGCTCTTCATATTAGGGTTTCGTTAAAGGAGACAGCAAAAGCTATGGGAAAAAAATCAAGTTGAGTAACATGGGCGCTAAGTGACACTGTGCCCCAAAAGGTGGTTGGAGAAGAGCCTCATCATGAGCCTTGTAGCCTCTTTCCTAGCTCAGCCCCAGTTGGGAAGCCACGGCTGGCTCCTGCAAAACACCATAATTTGCAGAGGCAGTAAAAAAGCTAAGAGCCAAATACAAAGAGCCCCTCTTGCCTACGGACCCAGATCCAGGAGCTGGGGAGAGCCGATCGTTTCATTGCGCTAGTTAATGCTCGCTGTGTTTTATGTAAAAGCCGTATAAATGTGATCTATCAATTTGCAGCTTTACCCAAATGGTGCATAAAAACCACCATGTGGCATCGTGCCAACATTAGCTGACCTATAATTGCTATATATTTAGAATGCTGAACACATCCGCTCTGTATGGAGGACATTTCACTCAAGCGGGTGTTGAGGAAAACATCTTACCAGCCTTCACTTAATCTCCTTCCAACGGAGACTTGCAAGAGTGAAACCAGCAGGGAACGTGTTGTCCATGGATGCTGGTTCACCACTAAGCAACATGCCAGGTTAACAGTACAGATCCTTAAGGAGGGGTGCTGCATCCCACCACATCCGAGAGGAGCTGGAATTGGCAGCAGGCAGGAAGGCTAGGGGTGCCGAAGGCAGCGCCAGCGGTGGCCCCTGTCACCCGCCACCTCCCATGGGCAGGCCACAGGCACAGCACAGAGCAGGGGATGGCAGCTGGAGTCCTGCAATGGATGCACGGACACTGCAAACACGCAGGCGCTGCAGGGCAGGGAGCAATTCAGGTGCCCGGCAGGTGAGTCCTGCTCAGGTGCTGGCCCTGTTTTCCCTGGGAAATGTCACCTGGGCGCTGAGAGAATGGGAAGCTGCAGTGGAGCCTTCTCTACCCCAAATTTGCTCCTTAGCTTAGCTTGTAAACATGAGACAGAGAGACCACTGCTGAGGCAACAGGAAATACATTTTGGAATTTTTCGGTCTTCTGGCATCCAAAAAGATTAAGGGCAGCTGTATAACAAAATTAATCTCCTTCTTTCCCCAAGATGGGTGCATTCTGCTGCTGCTGCCCTAGGGTAAGATCTCTCAATAATAAAAAGCAGTGAATTTTCGTTTTTAGATTTTTTTCCCGCCTCCTAGATCCAGTTTTCTAGCAGCACTTGCATCACACCTGAGTCACCCTAGAGATGCGATCCTGGGCTCCACAATCAGAAACGCTGCTCTAAGATCATTTTCTTTGTTTTCTTTAAGGAGACCCTAAAGGATGACAGCTGACCAGGGTGCAGCTCTGGAGAGCTAAATAATATACGGATTTCCTCCTAATATTTGGAGCTCGCCTGTGAGCATGGACATGCTGCTATGCAAGAACTCATTTGCAGAGCATCACATAAAGACAGCCCAGGGCTACGCTGTTCATGAAGAGTTCATCCTCGGCAAGGAGAGCACCAAGCAATTCCCTGCCCTGCACATGAAATTACAAGCACACAAAATCCTTTGCAAAAATCCCTGCTGCCCTTGTGACCATGCCCCCCTCCTCCTATCCTTCCAGCTGTAGGACACTCCAAAACACCAAGGTTGACCTTCGTGTCCTGCAGGAGTACTTCTAAGTGGCTGCCCGGCATGTTCACTTGACAATAGACACTGAGATATAAGGTAGATATCTTAATCTGTTTAAAACTTAGCTCCTTCATTATCCACCTTAAGGCTTCTGGTCTTCCATCCCTCTCTAATGATTTACGAGTTTCATAACTTGTTTTCTCTGTGCGCACAGCAGCTTCCTAAAGGAAATCATTCACCATTGCTTACTAAGCTCCAAATTTCACTTATCCTCTATTTTGCCTTTTCTTTTCCCCCAGCAAACCATCACTATGTCATCCAATTTCTCCTGGGAAGTTCCCGTGCTCCCCTAAGTTCACGACTCTCATCTCTCCCAGGTTCCTCAGCCCCGAGCTCCAGCTACAACGCAGATAACGTTGGCCTTGGGCAACAGCTTGTGTAGAAAGAGAGGCTGAGGGAATCGGCAGGTTTCTCTTTCCCTCTGCACTTGCAGATGCGAATCGTTCCTGCGAGGAGATTTTGCGAGTGCCAACATCTTTGCCAGCAATTTTCATGTGATCTGGCTGCAAAGCAAGAGGCGTCAGACACCGCAGCACAAGCTTGGTTTTTCAGGCCAGCTTTGCTCTCTGAAGAGATCCAAACAACTTCCAGGGGGAAGGAACTTTGCAGAGATCTTGTATTGCAACCCTGTTAGTACCTATGAAACCTGCACCCTTACAATGCCCTTAAATTAAGCATGCTTAGCTTTAGAGATCTCAGCTCTGCTCTGTCTCTTCCTATGCGAATAGGGCTCCAGGGCTCATTTCCCTGTTTTGGTCCTCTGTTAGGCAACTTGTCCCGCTGTTTTCCCCCTGTACTCCCATAAGGAAAATATAGACATACAGGGAAGCAAAATATTGTTCTTAAGCAAGCAGAAATTCCTAACTCAGGCAGTTCTCTGCTATCATCTTCAAAAGGGCTCAAGAGTACAACCATGGAGAGAAAAAAACAGCCACTTAATTAGGCAAGAGTGATCAGATCAGGGTAAGATGGAGGGGAATGAAAAGCAAAAAGGTTGCAAGTTATATGGTTCTTGGTGGGACCTGAAGGACTCTAACCTGGTTGCAGCATCCTGCAAGTTCGAGAGGGGTTTCAGGCATCACGTGGCAAGAAGAACTCAGTCTTACTTGGTAAATAAAGTGGGATGGGGAGAAAAAGGAATATGCCAGAATAGAAATGAAGAGGCAAGCAAGTGAGCTCAGGCAGCAGAGGAGAGGAGAACACAACAGCCCAACTGGCAGCTGATTTCACAGCACAGGGCAAGCAGGGAGTGGGCTGGCTGCAGGCAAACTGCTGGCCAGAACTTCACTCGCCCCATCAGAGATTCACTCGTCCCTCTTTCTAATCGAAGGAGCTATTTTCCAAACAACGTGGTGTACGTTCAGCAAAAGCAAAGGGGGGATCTTGATGCAGGAATGTCTCAACAGGTAAGGATTTGAGGGAGAACTAGACAAGCAGAGAGCCAAGGCAAATACTGCACCGCTTTAGGATGCTGCATAGTCTTTGCTGTGTGCTTCACAGAAAACAGTCTCCTCCAGTGCTACCGAGCTTGTCAAATTGCCCGGGAGGTTCAAAGGAAAGTTGTCTTTCAGACAATTTTACAAGGCAAAAGAAATCTTCATTTTTGAACTGTATCTCCTAAGCTTCAAAAGGAATTAAATCTCTGATCCCGCCTATCACACTCTTCACAGAAGGGAGAGAAAAAGGAAGCAGACAAGGTCAATGCCGGTGTCTTGACTCCTCAAGGAAGGCTTGAGGGTGTCCTAATATCATGGCAGGAGCTGATGGCAGCAAAGAGGGCATCTTCTTGTGCCGTTGCTCTCATAAGACACAGTGAGATAACAAATGATGTGCTGGAACACTAATTTGTGAGAGGCTGGAGCACCACCCGAGCTGCCAGGGCACAGCAAAGCCTACCCCAGCACAACACCAAACACGAGGGATGCGCTCCTCGTCCCCTTAAAAAATAATCAAAGCTGGTCATGGATTAATTAGTCAATTAATTCTACATCAAACACGGCTGAAGAGCCAAAGCTCAAGGTAGTCTGTGGAAGGAGGAGAGCTGACACCTCCCGCTGCTACATGAAGCCAAGGAAGTTCCCTGGAATGCAGGTCTCCTGTAGCCTGCATAAACTTTTAGGCAGCCCAAAATCATCTATTCGAAGCCTGCAGAACAGATGCTTGGCTTTCCAAGGAAGAGTTGTTTATGGAGAGAGCTCACAAAATGTGGAGGATGCACAGAAGGATCTGTCCTCTGGACCACAGGAGCATAGTACAGAGCCAGTACCCACTCTGGTTGTCCTCTACCCCTTCATATTTCCTTTGAAACCTCTCCTTTTGCTGATAGAAAACATAAGTGGTGGCAAATATGGTGAGCAAGACTCTCCTTTTACTATCAGGCCAAACCGCCTCTTCAGTCCATTGACCGATTCAAACAATGCTGGCAATGAGACACCGCGATGGGACAAAGAAGAAGGCCACTCACCCTCACGAAGCTGGCGGGAAACCATCCTTCTTCGTCATCAATCTGACCCCACCACCAGTCCTTGTTGGAAGCATCCAGGACCTTGATAACGTCTCCTGCTTTAAACGCCAACTCCCGGTTGGCCATGGTGACGTGATCCCATACTGCCTCAGCACTTACAATAGAACCACCACTGATCAGCTATAAAAAACAACAGAAAAAGAGACAGTCAGTAAAGGCTCTGTTCTCCAAAAAGAGCACATTCAAATCCACAACATGCAAAAAAAAAAGTGCTTAACCATAATAAAGCATTTTTCCCCATTCCAACCTGTAATACATTTGTGTATTCCACCCACACATAAGCGATAAAATATTAATCCAGTCTGCAACCATCTGCACCAACAGCCGTTGTGCTCCTAACCACGTCAGGCCTAGCCTGGAGAATGCAGGAGCAAACATCATGTGTCCGTGTTCAGCATCTCACGGGTCTTGGGCCACACATGTCAAAAGCAAGACCTCCTCTCTCAATGCAGAGCCATGTTCCTGGCCGGGCACACCTAGCGAGGCCCTTGGCTTTCAGCTATAAATTAGATAGTGTAATGTGGAGCTCCCCTAATGGCCTAAGGGACTGATGGGGCCTTGCAGAGGTATTTGAGTTTCGCTGCGGTTTCCCAAAGCTTGTGCCATTAAAGGAAATAATCTGGTCTCCAAGGTTTTGAAGGTATCACACGCAACTCCAAGCAATGGATTACAATGAATTCTGGGGGGGGAGCTATCAAAGGTTCACTAACACATTGAGGAGTTTTTTGGGTTTTTTAAATGTGATTTTAGCATTAATTCAATGCTGGTGATATCCTGCCAACTCTGCACCTGAAATCCTCAGGGTATGTGGCAGCCACCTGCAGCAGCTGGGCAGGTCACCACCCTGCTGACCTACCCTGCAACCTTAGGATAGGTCCCAGTGGTTTTGTTCTACCTTCAAACAACCTTCTCACGATGGCTGTGCTGCCAGCCTTCGTGACGCAAATATCTGCCCACCAGAACCTGGACTGAGGCCAAATTCGAGTCCTCCAAGGCCCAGGAAGCTTTCACATGAACTCCTGATTTGCTTGGAAGGGCGAGGTGGCCCAGCACCACTGTGATGACCGAGAGGTAACACTTTTCATAAATAAGCTTTCGAGCAACCACGTTTTCTATAACCTCCTGTTCAGTGCTTGCAGGAAAGACTTGTACAAACAACTGATGTTTGTGCATCCACAAGACAAATCATCCAGCCGTACCTGGGATCCCTGCTGCTCCTCAGAATGATAGTCATTGATTTAGCAGAATAATAAATTGCATTTATGTTTCGCTCACTGCAGGAATTCAGCACCGAACAATAAAACTGTCCTAGCAAATACAGACTTTACCCATATGCTAATCTGCTTGTCAGAGCCAGCCTGCACCTCGCTCATTAATTCTGCAGTCGGAGATGCACCAGGTGCTCAGCCCCGAATCAGAGCTTCAGCTTGCAAGACAAGAGCTCAGCACTGCAGACCTTTCATGTGGCTACTCTTCCCCAACCTCAGATGGACCTGATCTACAAGCTGAAATTGCACATGAGTACATCAGAGGCCCTCAGTGGTATTTATAGTGGTATTATATATTTGGGCATTTCATACAGAGCTGCAAGGAGCTGGGCAACAGAGGATCCTAGTGAACCTTCCGACAGTTGCAATTGGATGGTGTAGGGCCATCCCTCAGCACATCCTAGTGCTGAGGCCTCTCTTAGCCTAAGAGTAGCTAAAACTGCAAAAAAAAATACTATTTATGAAGTTTGACTTCTGATTTGAATGCAACAACGGAATGCCCAGCCCAGGTGGTGGTAGGTTCTAATGCTTCTTTACAACATCTTGTGTTCCCCTAAGCCATCCAGAAGGGCTTTCATAAACACAAACCAGCTAAAACCTCAAAGGACCCCAAGGAGACTTCTTCATCCTCTGTCATGGCCAGTTAACAGAGATTTGTTCCTGTGCCAGTACTGAGCTCTTCAACCTTGGTAGCGTTCACCCTTCACGTATTTATGGACAATCACATGTCCACTCTCAGTCTGTGCTTTTCTACATTAAGCAAGCCCTTTTCTTTTAGTCTTGTCTTCTTGGATGGCTCTTCTTTCCCCTGACTTCCCTAGCCCTTCCAAGCATCTAGATATTTTGGCTGCATCTTACTTGAACACAGATGACCAGAGCTGTAAATACCATTCCCAAGGAGACCTTACCAGGGATTTGTGAAACAACACGCAGTATTTGCCGTACTGTGTCAGAAAAATCTTCTAGTGATATATTCCATCTCCCCTCCTTTCCCTCAGTAGGCTGATGTCTCAGAGTAATCTTGAATTTGGTTAATTTAAATAGATGAGACTGAATGCATCCTCTTTGTCTAGAAAATCAGTTATCTCATCAAAAAATAAATCCGGTTGGCTTGACACTCCTTCCTTTTTGTTAATGCCGTTGGGTATTTTAGTCCATTTTTTACTGAGGGTGAACCAGGAGGAGAGCTATTACGCGGACGCCGCATTTCTGCTCTTTCTGCTCCAGCTGGCATAGGCTGCGCTGCCACTTCACATGCAGGCAGTCTTGGGCACTGAACTACCACAAAAAACGTCACTGAAACCCAACTGTACCCTAGATCGCCCAAGTCCAATCTGCAGAAATGCATTACCAAGCCCAATGAGATGCACAAAATTCAATCTCTACAACTTTTGGCTTGGTCAGCTGCAAGAGATGGCAAGGTCTTGCAGAGCGACATAAAAACAGAGGTGTTTGCATGATTTCTGCCATCCAGCATATTGAGTCCACGGAGAGAACGCCCAAATGAAATCCCAAATGAAAAGACTGAGGTCTGATTTTTTTTTATAAAATACCTCACATTACCTGTGAACATGCCTAACTATTTCAAGGCAGGGTTACAGAGATAGAACTTGTTATGCATAAAAGCAAGAGATGAAGAACTAGAGAAATGCCAGAATAAAATGCTGTATTTTCTGAGAATATTCACCGCATAGGAGCTCTCCACTCCAGAAACTTCAGATCTCTTGGTTTAGGGCTCGGAGGCTAGATCAAAAATTGGCTCAAAAATGCCTAAGCCTCAAGTTTCAAATGTGGGTCTTTTCACCGTGGTCAAGCATACCCAACTAAAGACCTTGGAAGAGACTCATCTACCCTAATTCTATATGACTACCATGCAACATCTGAGATAGTCATCAGGACTCCTTTATAACTAGTGAAGAGAAAGGGACACATCTGGAGTGTGATTCATCTCAGCTATTTCAGTTGTCTACCTTCAAGTGAGGTGATTCATGCCCTAGAAATGACTACATCTCTTCACTTTAATTAAGTGATGCAGAAGTTTACATTTCCAGCATCTGAAGTTCATCCCATCTACAATCTGGCCATCACTAAAATGGGGCAACCACAAAGTGGCTTTAATAATGACAATCACAATAAAAATAATCAGATTCTTAAATCAAATTCACCCAGACACAGTAGTTTCCCAGTAGGAAATTGCTATTATAAATAATGCAATGTGCTTCTAGCCCATTAGAAGAATTCACAGAATCTCAGCTGTTCGAATTTACAATAAGGAGGATGTGAGTGTTTGGGAAAAGTGTCCTACTTACAAGGACAGGGAGGCAGTTAGTAAAGCACAATAGGTGATAATGTACATTTGTTTTTGATATACACTGAGCACTGCTTGTCTTCCAGATAAAAGTCCTAGATCCCATTGAAATCAATTATTCTTGTCATTTCGTTGTTTGAAATGAAGAGCCAAAAGAGAAAAATTTCTCAGTGCTTTCACCAAGTAGCATCAGTGCAGGACAAGTGCCCCAGAGCATTTCATAACAACAGAACGGAGTATAATTTTTACTTCTTTGTGGTAGACTTCAGGAGACAGCCAAGCACTAGCTGTCTGAGGTGAAGAAACAAGTTCCTCAGTGGGTAGATGAGTGAAGATTAGCCATGGTTGAGGTTCAACAGAATGGAATTGCTGTTCACCATGGGGGCCCCCATCACCTTCTGCTGAACATGTAGCTGTGGCCAAAGATGACTGCCAGATGAGACACATGAAGAGTATAAGTCCATGCTGGCACCTGCTAACGCCTGGTGCCACCAGAGAACTTAACAAGGAAAGGGAAAATGGATAAAGAAAAGGCTCTAATTGTGTGCACAACCCAAACATTTCTGGAACACACACTAAGAACACATGGTATTATTATTGCATTGTTAGAATTATGTACTTCTGCTCTTGCAATGTTTTTTCAGTACAGGTCTCTACCGTGTGCTCTAAAATGTTACATAATTCAAAGAATCTCACTCTAAAGGTGTTTGTTCAAGATGCTCCTGACACCCCTGCACAACAGGTGAACACCTGCTCAAGAGTGAGTAGACTCAGCACAACGGGATTGTATCATTTTACCACGAGGCCCACGTGGACTTCCCTTCATCTTCTAGCCTGGTTTCATTTCCAGGATGGAACAAGGCCATTGGAAATACTGAATTACATTAGAGCTGCTGCCAAAAGAGAATGACAATAACAACAAACAGTAAAAAAGGTTTCCAGAGGGCTCTGCAAGCGGTGAACTCAAGGATGCAGGACTGCCAGAAGTGCCAAGCCGAGAGCTCCGGACATTGCCATGGGCAATGGCAGGGACGTTGCAAGCCGTCCCACAACAAACCTCGTGGCACACAGCTGTAAAACCTCCACTGAGCTCACCTGGCTGGGATGGTCCTGGCTAGTGTCTGCAAAGTGCAGCAGTGCCCATCTGGCAAACGATCCCACCTGTTGCACAAAAGCTTTCCGAAAGCCTTGGCCAAAAAGGAGGGACTGCCACCAAAGCCAAGGAAAAGAACTCAAATGGGGCAGCTTTACCCTAGGATCTATCTAGATAAAATAACATTCACCACCGAAGAAAGTAGGAAAATAAAATCAGAAGGAATAACAGGAACCATAATACGACAGGACATTACTTGGTGGAATTACTCCACTTAACCCTACTCCTTGAGCAAGTACAGGGAGCAAACCTGTGCAACCCAAGAGAGAAGAGGGGAGTGCAGATTACATGAAAGACCCTCCTACAGCAATAGTCTCCAAGCACCTTGGCATCATCTTTCTAACAATCTTATTTAGAGCATGTTCTCCCCAAAGGAGTGCTAGGATCAC